GATTGCCAGATCGCGCGGCGACTGAAATCGCCTGAGGTATTGGGCACAACACATAGGTATTGCTGATCGTGAGCAAGGCGTTATCGAATTGTAAGAGTTTTATGAAGTAGGGCTTAGTTAAAGAATGGTATCTTTTTCAGTCCAGACCGACGTTGAAAAGGCCTTTTTAAAACAGCGCTCATTTTCTGAAAAAAAAGCAGTATGACTGCATTCGTCACCAGCACAGTTAATTAGGTGTAGTTGGGCTTTGTTTTTGTGTCTATGAGGTAACCTCCATACTGCTTGAACAAGCTGCTGAAGACAGTAAGGTACATCCTGAAGTTCAATTTTTAATCATGATGCGAGACTGCAAATGATGATGCGGTTCTTTTTTGAAGGACTACGTATGAGAAAAATAATTGAATGTTGTAGTACGAAACGCAAATAACGATTTATTCATTAGGTTCGCCTAAAACATACTCGAAAGCTAGCGTGTGTTAACAAAAGTAGCTTGACTACCATTCTGCAACGTCATCAAAATATACTTTGCTGAGAGTTCATGGCAGCAATTGCGGCAGTTTACATCGCTACATAGATATAGTCTTTAGAGGAATATTCATGGGCCACGCTAAATCAAAATTTAGCAGTGTTCTTACGGCAGCTTTTACTGAAGCATTCAAGAACTGAGAGTTAAGTGGCAGAAATTGTACAGAGAGTTAGCAGCAGCAGACGTAGCTGATTATGCAGCACGACACGCAACAGCACTGTGCAGACGAGGTGCTGTAAGATACAGAGCTGGTGGCGGCTGGAGCGGCTACATAGCTAACAGACACAGCGGGGGCGGTGTAGCTGGTGGTGGCTGGTGCAGCATAGCTAGTTGAGACCGCAGGAGCAGCATAAGAAGTAGCCGCAGGAGCTGCATAAGACACGGCTGGTGCGGCGTAACTGGTCGAAATGGCAGGAGCAGCATAAGACGTCGCTGTAGGGGCTGCATAAGACACAGCCGGAGCGGAGTACGACACGGAAACGGCGGGAGCAGCATAAGAGACTGATGGAGCAGCATAGCTTGTACTCACTGCAGGAGCAGCGTAAGATGCAGCAGCTGGAGCTGCGTAACTGTAGCTTGTAGAAACAGCAGGAGCAACATAAGATGTAGCTGCCGCTGGTGCAGCGTAAGTCGCCGCCGCAGCCGGAGCAGCTGCAGTGTAGCCACTGCTATAGGCGGCTCCACTACTTGAGGTGCCTCCAATGACAAAACACACCATACCGATACATCTTTTGGTACGGGCTGACTCAACTTCCTCTTTGAGCACTTCTCCACAGGCAGGTGTGAAGTTGTAAGTGAGCAGAATAGTCACGATGCAAGCAACAATCTTCATCCTAAAGATGTTATAGATAAGTTTTTCAGTGCAATGATCCGGCTTGAAAAAAATTAACTTTTTGAAACATTTTCAAAATATACACATGTTAATTTTTACGAAATTGTCTGTCCTTTCCTCAAGTAATTCCTCTTTCAAAGATGAGATGGGACGCGCATCAAAACATTCAAACTTGAGAGGAAAATTAGGTAATTTCCATCAGCGGCGGTCCCAGGATTTCCGTCGGGGGAGGGGTGGGGGAGGAATTTCTTTTCAAATGAAGATGCATGGCGTTAATGCAACCTGACAAAAATTTCTGGCGTGTTTCTCAAAATTTTTGCGAGCTTATAACCCCTGAAATTTGCGAAAAATGCAGTTACTTGCACATTTTTATTACCATGTGGGTAAAGTTCAAAAACTTCGCGACCCATTCTCGGAGGAGGGGG